GAAGGGGGTCTTATTCTACTCCTCAAAAATTTGAATTTGGAGGCAACATTAGGAAGTAAAACCTTAACATCCATTTAAGGGGGCTTTACATCCAACCAAAGAGGCAAAAATGAGTAGGAAGCCTTAACATCTATTGAAGGGGATCTTATTCTCATTTTTTTGTTAATTTTTTTGTTAAAAGTGTGATCGCCACCATCTTCAAGAGCTGGAAAGATTGAGGAACATTGCAGGACTTGCCAATCTGAAAAACAGGTTCTGAACCTGAAGGAGCACGAGTAGAAATAGGAAAGTCGTCGACTAGTGCATTTTCATAGGAACACTTCGTCGAGGCCATTTCCAGAACGACCAGGCGAGCTGTTAGAAAAAAGACGAGCTCAGGAAATTTCTGTCGGGCAGGGCGACAGAGAGTTGTCGAGTATGGGTGTGACCTTCTGTTGGGCAGGACGACAGAGGCGATGTCGAGTACGTGAACTTTTTGTCGGCAGGAAGAAGGCGTCGTCGAGTACAGGGACGACACGTGCCGCGACCTAGCGAGGAAGCGTCGTGGACTGCGGGTGTGGAGAGACGAAGCACGTGAAACCCTACGGCGTCGACGCAGAGGAAGCGTAGGGGCTGACAGAAAGACGAAAATGACGAAACTGATAGCGTGAAACCCTCTGTCATTGGGCACGACGAAGCTGGTGGAGTGAAGCCAAGAGATTCAACTTAAGAAAACCCTATCAGAGCTGCCCGCTGATACACCTAAAATTTATAGTATTTATGTACACATTTTTATTTCTATTTTTGAGATATTGCGCTTTAATGAAATTTATTTGTGTTTTTGTTTCAGACACAATCAAATGGATGAAAAATTGTAAAAGAAGTGAAAAATGATCAAATTTGGAGCAAAGATGAAAGTGCAAAAAATGAACTGAGATGCTTAAGCGCCTAGGACTTGTGCTTACGTGCCAGTTAAAAAGAGAGAGCCGCGCCTAAGCACCAGATACCCCGTGCTTAAGCGCCAAAAGTAGTTATTTGATGATTCATTGAATTTGGACGAATTTTTTAATAGGTGTTTGAAGCAACCCTTGAATGTGGGAAATAGTTAATGTACACGAAAATTCATTTAATTGGCTTTTGAAAGGAGACAACTTCTAGAAGATTCAATGAGGACACATTTTGAAGAGATATCAATACATCTTTTCGATTTTTCTAAAAGAAGACTGGGATCATCCATGGAAGAAGCCAATTATCTTCATCTATCCAGACCGCTGCTGCCCACCTTTTTTTTATTTTGAGTGTATTTTGTATTGTGAGTGAAAAAAGAGATTCAAAGGAACTTCAAGACATTTGGTAGAGAGGAATTTAAGATAAGTTTTTCTCTTTGTTACTATATTTGGTTTTAATTTAGACTATTTGTTTTTGTGCATGATTTCTGCTTTCAAACTCAAGTGTGGTTGTGTTTTCTCCATGAATTCTGAATAATTTTCTTTTTCTTTTTTCTTAAAATAATAAGTGATTAAGTGTTGGCGGGAAGCTGTGTGAAATATTAGCCTTTAATGTTGGAAAAATTTGTGATAATGTTAAACCTTATACTTAATTTACTTTTTGATTTGACTAAAATGTTAATAGCTGTTGTGAGAACATATAAGGTCTGAGATGGTTTTGTCTAAGTCAACAAATGATAAGAATCACATTTGATTTCATGGGTAATAATGTAGTTCATGGAGTTAAGTGCAAATAAATAGAAAAATAAACTTTGATGGGTGTAAAATTAGACTTTAGAGTGACAGACTAAAGCCTCTAATTTGATTTATAGTTTTAGGTTTTAATACGAGATGTTAGCCCCCAGGTGGAGGGAGAAGAGAGAACTCTAGAGTGAGAGATAGTATCTTCCTTACCTAATCCGTCTTCATAACTATTCAAACAATAAATTAAGCCAATGTTCTTTATAACATCTCTAGTAAGGGTAAAAAATGTTATTTCTCCTATTTAACACAACATAATTAGAATACTTCTACAACATAATTCCTATACTTGTTACTGATTCATGATAAAGAAAAATATATTTTATTTATATTGCATTCTTCTTGCAAATATCTAGTTAAATTAGTTAGTTGTTTGCTTTATTTTCAGTTATAAAAAATTACAAAAAAAATTGAACTTTCATTCTTATTTTAGTATCTGGAGTTTAAGTAAAAATATTTTGCTAAATAGAATTTTGATTATCTAATCTCCTGTTTTATGAAATACATATTATTTTTTTTCGTGGGTTCGATATTCGGGGCTGAATAAAAAAGTTATATATTACTTGATAATGATACATATACTTGCGTAATATCCCATAGTAAATATTATAATTATATTCTTACTTGTTTTGAAATTCAGAATTTATCTAGCTTTTATTTGGGATCAAGTTAAGAATTATAGATAAGGAAATTAAGTATATAATCGCATACATCGCATTGACATCTATAAATAGTATATATATATAAACTAGGGAAACAAAAAGAAGAAAAATAAAGAGATTTAATTAAAGTAAAGTGTATTATAGATGAAAATGAAAGTGTTTTTCTTAGATATGAAGGTGAGATATTTTGATAAAACTTTCAATCAAGATTTTGAAAATAGAATTGATTTTAGTGATCTTAATATCGTTAATAATAATAAACTATTTTATTTTTAGTCACGTTAGTAAAAAAAAGTTGATGAGATTTTAAAGAAAATTATGAATGAAAAATCAGGTGGACTTGATGGTATCCAAATAGAAGTGATTTAAAAATTTATTAGTTTGCTAAGCTTTTTTATATTATTTAAAAATAAAATAAATGTCTAGAAATTGGAGGAAGGGTATTTTGGTCCTTATCTTGAAGAATAAAGGGGTTGCACAAGAGCGTGCAACTTATAGAGTAATTAAGCTGTGTCTACTTTAAAATTATGGGAGAGAATAGTTAAATATAGATCAAGACTTGATATAAAGATTTTAAAAAATCAGTTTGGATTTATTTTAGGCAAGTCTATCATGGAAGCTATATTTATTGAGAGGCTTCATGGAGATGTATAGTGAGTGAGAAGGATCTATATATTATTTTTATTGATTTAGAAAAAGCTTATGATAAGGTTTCTAGAGAAGCTCTTTGGCGAGTTCTAGAGAGAACTTGTTGATATGACTTATATTTAAGTAATTAAAGATATGTATATTGGAGCTATCACTTGTGTTCAAACAAAAGGAGCATTGACCAAGTGTTTCAGTTGGATTACATCATAGATTAACTTCAAGCCCATATCTTTTTGCTTTAGTTATGTTTCCCTTACTGGATTTGTACTGGAGGATTCACCTTGGTGTACGCTTTTCGTTGGTGATATCCTTCTTGCAGATAAGACTAGAGAAAGAGATCAGAAAAACTTGAATGATGGTGGTCAACTTTAAAGTCTAAAAATGTTTGTTTTTGTAGATCTAAACCTAAATACATGAAATGTAATTTTAGTAGTAATAGATTTAGTGGTGGAGTTGTAACAATGGGTGATCAAGTCGTTAAAAGGACTGAATGTTTTAGATATCTTGGGTCTATTGTTCATAGTGATGGCGATGTAGATTATGATGCTATCAGTAGAATTCAAGTTAGATGGTTGAATTGGAGGAAGGCAATGAGTTTATTGTGTGATAGAAAAGTACCGCTTTGACATAAAGGAAAATGCTTTATGGCGCAAAATGTTAGCCTATAAAAGAGAAGTATAAAACTAAGTGTTGCTGAGATGAGAATGTTTAGTTGGATGAGTGACTCTACACTTAAAGACAAAATGCAAAATGAATATATATGTGAAACGTTTGGTGTAGCTTCAGTGGCCGACAAGATTTCAGAGAGTGATTTTGATGGTTTGGTCGCATTAAACATCAACCATTTGATGATCCAACTATAAGAGTAGATGTTTTAAATTTGAATTATGTTAAGAAAGGTAGAGGTAGACTTCAAAGAACTTGGGCTTGTTTTATAAAAAAATTTTTTAATTTGTTAGAATTAAATAAAAATGACTCTCAATATGACACAATGGCGAAAAAGATTCATGTATCTGACCCCACTTAATGGGATAAAGACTTATTGTTGTTGTTGTCATATACATAGATTCATGGGAATTCTATTTTTTATTTTTAAATTTATTTTTGATTCATTCTTTTCAAGGAACGGAACATTCAACTTATAATTTTTGAAGTTACTAAGGATTGATTTAATTAATCACACAAAATGTAAAATAGTAATTTCTTGTAATTTTCTAAATCATTCTAACTCAATTAAATGCCAACTTTATTTCCAAAATACCAATTATCCATAAACCAATTTAATTTTATTGGATTTCTACTAATCAAGCATTAACATTCAACTTCTCTCTTTTTCTTCTACTAAATTAAATCTCGGAGTTTAGGCTTTTCGCAAAAGCCGTAGAAAAATATATTTTATTTATAGACTAAAATTTTGTATTCATACATTGGAATAAAGTAAATTACTTCATTTAAAGTTACGTCAACTCTGGATCTTCTCCCTATCTATCTATGTTGCTCGAGTGAGCTTCGCACGGGTTTATCATCCCCACATCACTTCAGTTTTTCTTTTTTTTTATTCTGAAATTTATTTTGTAATTTCCCGCGTACATAACAAACCTGGAGTTAGCTTTTACCTGCATCATGTTTGTTTCTATTATCCAATTAGTTTTAACGAATGTAAACTGTTGAAGATTGCTCGAACAAATTAAGCAAACAAGAGTGTATACCCATTTAAAGCATGAAGAAAGTTGAGGTTTGTTAACCTGGATTATATTTTCTCCACCCAACTTTACACCGTTTCTAATGTTTTTGCAGATGGTTATGCCTCTGACATTATTTTAAACATTGCTCAATCATCCTTTAATAAATTTCTTTACATTATTCAAAACCAAATATTGTTAGCCAGATCATGTCATTTAATTCTCTGTGCTAGCAAAATTCAATTTACTTACTTGTATTACTCGCTTCTGCAATTTTGCAGAACTACTCGGGAAACAAAAAAATGCTTGGAAAGTGTGAGCAGGTAGTTTATAATGTTGATTGCTTCTCTTCAATGCCCGTTTATAGTTTGACCGAGGCATTTTGCAATCCTACCAGTTCTTTCTCGAGCTCATGAAGGTTCCTCGTGTAGAATCCAAGTTGAGGGTTTTTTCCTTTAGAATTGCCTTTTCGACGCAGGTATGTTAATATTTTATGGATATTAATATCTCGAGCATGTTTATGCATACGTGCTTTTCAATTATTAGTGAATGTTATCAGGTGAATGAGCTGCGTTCCAATCTGAATACAATTAATGATGCCTCCAGAGAGGTACTCTTTTAGCCGCCATTAATTTTGTTTGACCTAACGCTATTTATTAGTGACTTCCCTTTCATTTTAGGTAAAAGGTTCTGCCAAGTTACGACAAATTATGCAGACCATTCTTACCTTAGGAAATGCTTTGAATGAAGGCACAGCACGAGGTGCATATTTTGGCTCTCTTGGCATATTTCCTAAACATGAGAAGTTTGAAAAGGAATTTCCTTTTATTTTTTATTCTCTAGGGTCTGCTGTGGGTTTTAGGCTGGATAGCCTTCTGAAATTGTCCGATACACGAGCAAGGAATAACAAACTGACATTAATGCATTATTTATGCAAGGTTAGCCAAAGCAGCATCATCTGCATGCAGACTTATTTTTTCTTTTGGCGAGAATTATTATCATTTCGAATTTCATTTTTCGAGAAACCATTCCTCTGGAACAAATTTAGAAGCATAAATTTATTTAACTTTTTGTTACACATTACATGCATTGAAGGCTTCAATTTTTTTTATTTTTTTATTTTATGTTTGATATTTTAATATAGCAGTTTGCTCTGAGGTAAATTTTTTATGTTTTGACGGATTAGGACCTCAATTATAGTTATTTCTTATCATGCGGTTGGATTGAGGTATTGTTTTATTCCGCTTGCTTTTTGTTGATATTGTATGACATCATTTCTTCCTTTTTTTTAACCCACAACCTGAGAGTTTTAGTCCTCTCCTTTGATCAAATATTTAAACTTTGAAATCTAGTTGCCTACGCATGAAGAGGTACTGTTGGAGTGAATTAGGTTATGATAGAAAAGAGAAATAATATCAAGGTAGCAGCCAACTTTAGATAAGATACTGAGGGTCTAGTTGGGGTAGCTATAACTTATTAATAAGCTATTGCACAGCAGATGCCACAGGAAGTTGACTGTTTGTTTGTTTGTTGCAGTTTAAAAACAGTTGTGCTGCAACTTTTTCTGGAAAAATGATCATTCTGCCCTTGTATAGTAATTTTTTTTTGCAACTGAATTGTTCATACCAGTACATTTATACTTCAAAAAAATGTCCAGTGCAGAGCATTACAAAAAAAAAAAGTTAGACACCTCACTAAACAGTGAGTAACATGACTGTCAAATTAAGAAAAAGACAATTAAAACAATAATTAATAATGTGATAATATTATTTTTAAAATGTAGACGTCGTATATCACGAGCTAAGCTGTTCTCCAGGGATACTTTTCATGCTCGATCACTCTCGGCGGTGTAATCTTTTATCCCATCTACCCTAACCGAAAATAGTCACAGTTTTCTTTGATTTTTCACTATCCCTCATAACTATTTGACTGACGCGAAGTGAGCAGTGAACATTGAAGTCTATAGTCATAGTGCAATTCTCTGGAGGTACCGGAAATCCTCGAGCTCATCTTTTCTTAAGGCTTAAAAAAATACCCTTAGACATTGCACAAGTAAAAATTGATAACAAAAATAATTAATTAAAGTTTTATGTAGCTGTGAAGTCTCAGAGAACTCAATATATAAATCAACGAATCTATCATTAGAAGAAGGTAACAAACTTTTTAAAAAAGGGTTCGTGGTTGCCTTTAACCTACGTAATACCAAGCTTGTATATGTCACATATGTATATCACGAAAAAAGACCATCCAAAGAACCTCAAAAACCGTATCACCGAAAAAGAGATGAAGTTGGTTGTCTTCATTAAGATTTCACATGTCACATCAACTAATGCGACATACATGCCATCCAGAAGAATGCATAAGGTCAAACGTCTCGTCATAGACCTCTAAAATCCACCAAAGAACAAAAAAATGCAAAAAAAAACGCACCAACACCTTCTTAACCACACAAACACACCAACACCTTCTTAACCACACAAACACACCAACACCTCCACCATCACCTCCTCTACACTTCCACTAACACAAACACAACTAAACCACCTCCTTAACCGCACACTACCACAAACCAACCACCACCTCACCCACACACAAACACATCCACCGACAAATGCACGTCTACACACCGATCACCCTACACCACCACGTCCACCTCCACGTCCACGTCCGCGCACCAACCACCCTTCACCACTCCTTATCCTTCAACACAAACACGTTCACCACATCAACACCACAAGCCAACATCAACCAAATGTACATTGACTGAGCAAAAGGAAAACCATAATCCACCATTGCACGTGCATTCAAAACTGACATGTTTTACACTTTTATTTAAGAACATAAAGGAGTAAGCATATCCATTTGCTAAATCGAAAATCCCAAAAATCCAAGCCATAGCATGTGGGATCCCCAAAAATCGAGAACTATTGAAGCATAAGCATTTGCCAAATCAAAAATCCCAAAAATCAAAGCCATTGCACGTGGGATCCCCAAAAATCGCAAAAATCAACTTCAACCGAGAAGCAATGAAGCATAAGTATTAGACAAATAAAAAACCACAAAATTCTTAAGCACAGAGAATCACACCAACACCAAGAGGAACTACCGCACAGAGGAACCTATGCTGGGCATAAAGGCACAAAACCAAAAGCCACACAATTAGGGTAAATAAACCACTGCACAAATATTACCCAGTATGAAAAGGAAGCACCGCAAAGAGGAAACCAAGAAAATAGTGGATACATACACATTTTCAAAATCAAAGCCAATGACATAGTTAAGGTAAGGATTACTCAACACAAAGAGGAACCACCATACAAAGAAATCATAGTACAGAGGAACCACTGCACGAAGAAGCAATGCCTCACACGGATGAAAAGATCCAAACAGAGCCGTAGAGGAGATAGAGGAGAGGGAGAAGAGAACTCTCCGAGAGAGGCACAACACCAACCACGAGAATCGCGCGCTAGAGAGAGAGAGTAAAGGGGAGTGCCGCTAGGTCAAGACGCGAGAGGATCGCGGGAGAGGAGGGGCAACGAGGGCAAGACGTGAGAAAAATGATCGCGGGAGAGGAGTGACAGCCGCGTCAACACTATACAAAAGAACGTGGGCCACGGGTTCGAAACCACTTTTCGTTTGGATTTTTCATAATATCCGCCACTTCGTCGAAACCAAATGCAAGTCGTCGCATTTTCTGGCCGCGTCGCGGTAAAACCACCACACCTTAACGGGGACTTACATAGGCGTATAAAGCTAACGTGGGCGTTTGAAACTATGATATTACTGCTAATGGCTAGATTGGTTGGAGGACATATTTATTCATTTATATTAACAATTAAAACAATCCAATATATCTAAGAGCTATTAAATAACATGATTTTTGTTCACATTCAACTCACGAATAAATTATCTCTGCTATAAGAAATTTAATATAGAAACTAAAACAAATACCTCTTTCCACTTGCTTTTTGTCACGTATAAAAAAAATTTCTTTCATCACCCATTTAGCTTAATTTAGCATTCTTTAAGGAATATCAAATAATGAGTTGAGTCATACAACCACTTAATGAATAAACACAGTTGCATAGTATGTCAATCTCAAGAATATAATAAGTATGCATGGGGGCCATAGTAAGTAAGCAATATTTTTTTATCTTAATAGAAATTTAAAACATGTATATTTGTAATTAGTTTAATACGACAAATGATAAATTTATTATTTTGTAACTCATTATTTATAAAGAAATTTGTCATGTCATTGTTTTTCTTATCTTTTAACAAAATTTATCCATCAAACGAGCACTATCAAATTTTGCATCGCCTAAGATATATTTATTTTTGTTTTCTTTTTCAAATGTTTTTTATTTCAGTTGCATGTATCTTAGTATTCTTAACTAGTACTATAAAACATGACTCTATCAATCAACATTTACTTGAATTTTATGTCATTTGTTTTTTTGCGTGTGATGATATAAAGTTATAAATACTCACTTTAATTGCAGAAGTGTTTTTTTCTCTTTAACTCGTGCTCCATCATCATTAGTTTGCTATCTATAATAATTTATAAATTTTATATTAATTTATTATATTTTTACATTCAGTATTTCAATCACCTTGTTTAATGATACTTTTCTTTAATTTAAGTTTAGAAATTATTCTTTAATCTTTTTTTATTCAATTACATAATCATGATTAATGTTTGAAAATTTTAAGTTCATTACTTAAGCTTAATCTCAAGTAGACCATCAAACTTTTAAAATTTTGTACTAAAAAATAGAAGTAAAATAATTTTAAACGACTGCATTGATTCAATTGAACTGTCGAACCCGTTTCATCAATTATAAGGTGAGGGTGGGTGACATAATTCCTCCCATGCAAATTTTGAAGTGAGGCGAATGAAATAGAAAAGACAAGGAAAGACAAAATTGTGTGCCAAGCAACTAATACGACATCCCATGCGAAATGGAGAAACTGGGGAGAAGAGTCGAGCCCGTGACGCCTCGTGCGTGAGAGAGACGAAGCTAGAGGGTGTCGATTCACTTAAAGGAGGTTTCAATGACCCTTAAGATGTTTCTATACATGAACGAGCAACACATGTGAGATACGAAGTTACTGTGTCAATCGACGTGCTTGGAGGATGATCAATGATACTAGATCAGAATATGAAATTTGCGATCAAGTCTTGCAATGGGCATTACGTGCGTGAGAGGGAGACGTTGCTCATGCTGGATTTGAAGCTACATGCATGAGAATCAACTTTGTGTGTGGGATATGGGTAAAGGGTAACGACGGGCTTGCACCCATCATCTGGAAGAGAGTCCAAAGAGATTTATCTTGGAATTTTATATCGAACAAGAGAGCAAATGAAAATGATATTAAAGTTTATTTTAAATTTCAATAATAGTTAAATTTAGTTTAAAATTTTTTAAGTATTAATAATGGTTTTTTCGAGTTAATATTAGATTGTGAAAGTGGAAGAACTTACAAATCAAGTTCGAAAATGTATTGTTGACTTCACAAGAAAAGAACAACAAATTTTGCAAAGAAAGAATCCAACTTGAGGTATATAATTAGGTTAGAAATTCTATAATCTGATTTGTAGTATATTGAAATTAATTTAAGATTATGCCCTTTACATTATGAAACTAATTTACAAACATTAAATTCAAAAAATTGTGGATGAAATATAGTCAATTATTTAGGAATGTAATATAATGTTATCTTGTAAACATTATAATTAAAGAAATAATTTATATAAATAAATATTTCATTACAGGAAATCAAGGTTAAAGATTAAGTGACATGATAAAACATTTAAAGGTTGAGGTGAATAATTACTTTTTATCTGTACTAATTTCAGTTCTTTTATTTTTAAAATGCATTCACTTTTTCAAGTATTAGAACATGATAGTATAAACAAATTAAATAAAATTTTCATACATACCACCCAATTTTTTTGTAATTACATATCTAACGCCTAAACTTCACTTTTTTACATAAATGCTACCTTACCTATGCATGAAAATGTGTATTTCACTTTTTAAAAGTTAAATTTGTGATATTCTTAATGTGATTTGAAAGATTTGGCTGATAAATCTAAAAATTAAAGTTTAGGTGGTTAATATGTAAATATATAAAAATTGGGTGGTATGTATGTAAATTTCCCATTAGATAAATCTTTATCTCTTAAAATGTTTCATGAGCTCAATATATGTTTTAATGATTAAAAGAAATTAAAAATAAAGTAAAATAAAAAAAATTATATAAGTCAATCATTTGAGTAATCCCTATATGGTAATAGTTGATAATACTTTAGTAATCCTGCATGATATGAAAATGGAAATTGCTTGAAAAAGAACATGGAAATGGATTGCCTTAATTTATAGATATTTTTGTTGGTGCTCTTTAGTTGATTTCTTAAATGTTAGATAAATATAAATATTTAAAAGTTTCTCATTAAATAAAATTTTAAATGTCCAATTATTTTTTAACATCATGTATGCTTGGACATGCAACAACAACAAAAACAACAAACAAGCCTTTATACCACTAAGTGGTGTCGGCTACATGAAGCCCTTCGCGGCTACATCTTCATCTAATCACCATCATCTTGAACAATAGACCCGAGATAACTAAAACATTCACTCCTTTTAATGGCTTGATCACCCATTGTTACAACACCGCCACTGTATCTATTACTACTAAAATTAGAGGTCATGTATTTAGTTTTAGATCTACTTAAATGAAAGCTTTTGTTTCCTAAATTTAACCTCCATAATTCAAGTTTTTTGTTTTCTGAACTCTATATAGTTTTATCCACAAAATTGATATTATAAACAAAAAGCATACACCTGTAAATGTCTAGAAAAAACATCTGCAACTAAAGCAAAAAGATTTGGGCTTAAAGCTGATCCTTGATGTAATCCAACTAAAATTGGAAAATACTTGGTCAAACTTTTTTGTGTTCGAACACAATAACTCAGTATATATTATCTTTAATAACTTGAATTTAAGTAATATTAGCACCTTACTCTCATGAAACCTTATCATAAGCTTTTTCTAAATAAACAAAAATTCTATGTAGATCCTCCTTACTCTCATGTTTAGGCATATGCACAAAAATTTAGTGCATAGTAGAACTATAATTTATCACTAAGTTGATGTATAACTTGTTATTTAACTACGTACAGCAAGGAAAAAATCCGTTAAACTAAATGAGAGAGAGGAGATAATTTTCATATTGAAGAAGAGGAGCGACTGGAAATAGATAAATTGAATTTTAGCTTGTTTTCAAGTTTTCTTTCTGAATTGTTGTATGAACATGATTTGATTTTCTTTTCTTTTCATATTTGAATTGGATATGATTTAGAAGTGTTGATGTTAAGTGGCTCTTAACTATTTGGATGAAATTTGGGAGTATTATAAATATTAGAATGGTATGATTCTGCCATTCAACCGTCTGATCCTGCTTTGGTAATTTCTCGTGCTTTCTGTTTGCCTGTTCTTTGAAGGTGCCAATACCTTCTCGACTCCTCTTCCCTTATAAGATAAAATTGGTTTGTTGCTTCCTTTGAATTGACATAGCTGGTTCCACATATATATATTTTCTTACTACATTGATCTCCCTATCTTGAAAAAGTTTATCCTCGAAATTAAAAAAAAAATTAAAGATATCTTAGTTGAAGTGATTTTGATAACATTCTTGTGTTTCTTAGTCTTTCTTTTTTGTTTTTCCATATTTTCATAGAATTTATTCAAATGGAATGTTTGAAATGTAGTCATTTTATATTATATTTAATATATTATAAAGTTTCTTGATATCGATTAAATTAGGATATATGTCAGTTGAATATGTGATAACTTCACTTGATTTATAGAATTCGTACAACAAATAAATTACTCCTTGGTCCTTATAACGAGTCAATTATGACTACAATGGATTGAGCTGAATTAGTTTTCAAGTTTTTTTAGAAGACTTTTCAATTTTAGCTGAAATTTATTTTATTTCTTCTATTTTTATTCATTTAAATGCAATAAGGATAAGCATTCTTTATAATTTGTTTAAATGATATGAATAACAGTTATCTCATATTTATCTTTGAGCTGTTTTTATTGTAAATAAGGCTGTTTGTATTAACATTTTATTATTTTATTGATGGATGAATTATTGCGGCCATTCACGAATGATATTTTCTTCCTCTTTTAATCCAAGTTCTATTTACGAATAGCTTCAAGTTGTTTACGTGAAGTCATGATTGTTTCTCTTTGAAACTTTTCTTTACCTATATCAATTTTGGTATCAAAAGATGCTTTTTCGTTCTTCTGTATCTTCTTGTGTATAATTTATAGCTTTAACATGTTTTCCTTTTTCTTATCTCATCAGCCTTTTGTTATCATTTCTTTTGCATGTAGCTTCTTGCTGAAAAAATGCCTGAGTTGCTGGACTTTTATAAAGATTTAATTCATTTGGAAGCAGCATCTAAGGTATGTATGTGCCCGCTTCTCCTTATATACAAGTGGTTCATTCGTTTCCATTCTATCTGTGTCTGTGCATGATTTTGTGAACGCATATCCTTAATCAAAGAGAAATGAAGTTTGCATATCATTTCCATTATTTCGGTTATTTAGTATTTTTTCTGATAAAATTCTATGAAGAGTAACAGATTCAATTAAAGATGGTAGCTGAAGAAATGCAAGCTGTGAGCAAAGGTCTTGAAAAGGTTGAGTTTGAGCTCTCCGCATCAGAAAATGATGGGGAAATCTCCGTAGGCTTCCGAAAGGTAAATCTCCGTCCTTTCCTTATCAGGCTTCCCGGTAAATTTCAAAGTTTATGAAGACAATTTATGACCTTGAACTGGTTTAATAATTTATGTAGAATTTCATCTTTTTGTTCACCTTTATGATTGGCCATCTTTTATTTTTTTTCATTCAATTAATTTTTCTAATATGAAAACCCATGGAAGGAGTCATTTCTACAAGTCTATACAGTAGATTTTTTTCATCCCGACTTTCTACTAAGGTTTCGCGCTATTGAGTCCTCCACTCTATGTTGGCTTTCCAGCATCTGCTCGTGCAACTGGAAAATCTCTTTGTTCATTGCAGCCATCTGCCTGACAAGAGCCTCCTAGTCTGGTTGTGAGGAGCTTGGGGAACTAAGAATGGGAGCACGAGTGAACTCGGCGTCAAAGGCTATGCCCTTTGCTCCAAATGCCATAAACCCTCCCCTTCTTCCTTACTGTCGCCTGGTTCCAAAGCTCGTGCTCGGACTGCGCAGTGGTAGGCTGACTACTATTGCAGCTGGTGGAAGTTTGGGCCTGAGCTGCCTAGTGCCTCTCCCGGCGCTACTCGAACTCCTCCTGCATAATGAAAATCAGCATTTAATTGTCACTTTCAACAATTAGAGTCAAAATAAGCTTTTAATTGAAGTTTGTTAACTTACGACAACCCGCCAGAAATGCTCCGAGACCCTCTGCGCAGTCCTCGGGCGCTGATGAGTTTGACATACAACTGCGCAACGGAGGGTGCATGACTCAACTCCTTGGTCTGTGTAGCGTACAAAATGCTTAACACTAAAAAAAACTCTAAAATTTGAATGAATATTTGATTATCTAAAAAAAACTTACCAACCTTCTGTAGTGCTCTGTATGGGGGACTGATATGCCAATATAGAGCACAGCTCCCCTGGCCCCTCCGTCGCCCGATTCGCTCGATTTGTCTGTCTCTTCCTCTCATAATTAGGCTACAATCAACTGATCTTAGTTCCCCTCACCAATTCAGGCAGACGCTTGTTCCTCCGACGGGTTGTCGTGAACATGTCGCAAGGCAATGGCTGCCCCAAATCTCAAAGATTCGGTGGATCTACTGCTGGTGCTCTAGGAGCCAGGTGAAGGATCTCTGCAACATTAAAAATAATTCATGTATTAGCATAAAAAATTAAATCAAATTTATAAATTTAATTCAAATTACATGATCGTACCTCAAATTCCCTGAAACACATGTCTCAAGTGGCTACAGGTATCTGCTTCCATGACATACATAACTCATCGTAGTTGCTTCTGATAATTATTGTGATGCAGGTGACATGCAACTTGTGGGGAATGAATCTACTTAAGAAACAAATTAGTTACCGAAAAACATATAACGTGAAGAATAAATGCAATATAATGTTAAAAATAACTCAAGAGTCCCCCTCTGGCAGTAAGTGTACCCTACGGTACCCGGGGGGGGGGGGGGGGGTAGAAGTCGACGGGCCAGACTTAGCAGGTGGGTGAGTAGATGTGGAAGCAGCAGGTGCCCCATGAAATGGTGCAATATCAGGTGCTGGAGCAGGTGTCACGGGAGGGGTGGTAGTAGCTGGTGGGGGAGGAGGTGCCATAGGAGATGTAGCAACAGCCGGTGGGGGAGGAGGTGTCATAGAAAGTGTAGCAGTAGTGGAAGCAACGGTAGGAGTAGACGACCTCTTCCTGCTATGGTAGGTGTTCTCAAGGGTCCCCATAACATGGGATCTATGAGGTGGCTATCCACTTGTACCATTTGTGGCCATCTGCAAACAAAGGAATAATATTGAAAAACTTTGTAGTGGCGGGAAAAATAATCATAAGCAGAAAGAAATGATGTAGTGAAGATAAGATATAAGTAGCAGCTATGTCTAAAAATAGAAAAAACAAGAGTAATAACTATGCCTTGATACAAAAAATTTAGCGATTAATCTACACCACAACAACATTATATCCTGCTATATGACAAATCCAAGCTCTTAAAAATATAAATGCTTAAAAAGATGATACTGTTACAAATCTAAATTATCAAAAGTTTACATCTACATCCTGATCAATATAAGTTCAAACATTACATAAATTAAAAATACATAAATACTCTTTCCAGTTCTACTTATCCTCCTCGACTACAATTCACTTGCTCAAATGATCTTCTATAATCTCTGTCAGACGTGTTATATTCCACTCAATTTTTTCTGTTAGCCTTCACGTAGATGGTGAACCTCCTTACTCATAACAGTGACATGCCTGGCAAGCTCCGCAGTACTCGGGGGTGACTAGCTGGTGCCACCCTCAGAACCGCGAGAGATCTCAACCTTCTTCTTCCCTGCCGCCTGCGACCATTACTCGAACTTAGACTGTAAAGTGGTAGACTGACTACCACTACTGTTGGCAGTGCTTGGGGTTTAGGAGGACAACTGCTTCTCCAAGAGTTGCTCGTACTACTACATAATAAAAACCAAATATTAATTATCATTTTAAACATTAAAAGTCAAAATAAATACGAAAAAATCAATTTCTTACTTACATTCACCTGCTGAGGTAGCTGATCACCAACACCAACTGTGGTCATCTGTAGCAAGACTAACAACAAAAATAATCAGGAGTAGTATACACAAGTAAAAGGAGGAATGTGCAAAATCTAAACAGGAAACTTATCGTAACTGTCTAAAACAAAAATAAAAAACCTAACTCCTAAACTTCAATTTATACCTACATAAAACCTTATCTATGCATTTAACTAACCTAATACCTAGAGTGCAATATTTACTTGCATACCATTGAACTCTTATGTATATACATACTTAGCTAACACCAAAGCTTCAATTTATACCTACTTACCACCTTACCAAACGTTAATAACTTTTCTCTAATTCTAGACTCCTTAAACAAGCCTACACGAAAATATCATTGGGGATTTAGTTTTTGTAGGTAGGGCCATTAAATGGGGAGTTTCATATACTCGTGGAATGTCTTTTTAGGTCCACATAATGAAAAAAATGATGTGACTTAAGTTTAAAGACGTGTTTTTTTCCATTAGTAATTTACATCAGTAACTTTTACTCTTGTGACTTCTTTTAGTAACTTCTTAATTCAATTAATACAATTAATTTTCTTACTTCACATTAAGTTTATTAATTTTCAATTTACAATTTACCTCTCATAACAACAAATATTATAGAAGTTCAATTTTCTCACAATTTTATCTTTCTCTAATAGCTTTTCTCACCTGAAGATTGCTTAGAAGTGGATAAATATTTGTAAACCTAAAATCTTAAGCTAAACCTAAAATCTACATTACTCTAAACCTAATTTTATGTCTATACATCAAAACAACTAAACTTCAAATGTTACATACCACTGAAATCTTATACATATACATTCCTAACACCTAAACTTCAAATGTTACATGCATACCAAAATTTGAAAAAGGAAAAAATGGTCGAAGTTACATTTTCCAATCGGCCAGGGTCGCGATAAATTTCAGTGGTCGGAGGAATGGTGGCGGCGAGAGGGAGGAGAGGGTTTCAATGTCGCGGGAGGGAGGAAAGGAGCGGGGGCGTGGCGCGCATGAATATGAAAATGAGTTGGAAGGCGCGTGATGGATTTTTTATATAAATTGTGTCGGCATTATCTTCTACTTGCATCGTATTTTTTTCGATGCATTTAAGTAAAGTTTTTGCGTTGATTTATTGGAGACAAATACGACGCAAAAAGCACCAAAAAATCAACGTTCATTTCGTTGTTGTTTGTGTTGAATATTTAGGCGCAAATTCCGACGATAATGAAATAAATTTAATTTCGCCGCAAATCAGTCGCAAAATCCAACACAAAATTTTGACGCTAATTCAATTCTCTTATGTAGTGTTAGGACGGGGGAAGGATGGGGTTAATGGTTGGACGATTGGATTTGGAAAGGGTGGGATGGGTGGTCATCGCCTATGAATAGGTAGGAGGAACGTAGAGTGATCGGCGGCTGGAATAGGGAAGGAGAGCTAGGGCGGCTGGAGGTTTGGTCAGGAAATTGGCTGAAGAAGGGGCGGCGACTGAGTCGGGAAGCAGGGGAATAAGGGGCGGCGGCTAGGTCGTGAAGCAGGGGAAGAGGTGGTCGGCGGCTAGGAGTGGGGAGAAGAGAAATGGGGAGGGAGCGAGGAGATAAACACAACATTTGAGCATGATACAACAGGAGAAGTAGCTGTCCTTGGATACAACCATAGCAAGTGAGGATGTCTGTAGGCGAGAAAACAGAAGGGCGGGGGGTGGGGAATTCAGTTGATAATTCCCACCCGGTGAAAGGGAAGAGTAGCCGGTCCAACTTATTGTTCGATCGAGACTCCTTCCCCTACTAAACCCATTGGCCGGTTTAACCAAGTCACGCCCTAGCATCAAGGGATATCTTAGTTATATCATTTGAAGGAAAACAAACATAGAATTATGTAAACTTCATGATGCATAAGAAAAAAAAAATCTTAGTTTGGTTTATTTTGAAAATCAAAATGGAAAAGTTTTAAGTCTTTAGTATTTAGAAATTTTGTGGTATAGATAACACTATTTAAAAATATATATATATATATATATATATATATTTAAAGGGTGGCTGGAAATAGCCTTTGCCCTTTGCTTATATATATTCTTAAAAAAAAAAACCTAAGGGCTAATATATTAAAGAGTAAAATGTACATATATATTGTATGAGAGGGCTTACAAGAAGACCCAACCCACATAATACAACCACAAAAATCCACTAAATTAAATATACATAAAGATAAAAAAATCAAAAAACCACCAACGGACGCAAAAGTGCTAGGGACGCCCCACTTTAGTCCTCCCTCTGTCTCTAGTTCTCGGAAAGGAGCCAACTACAAATTGGTAAAGTGCATACCATTACCCGAAGTAATCAAATTTCTGAGCTCAAGTAGGTCTCCATTCTTCTTCTTCCTCCTGGATGTATAGATTTGTCATTATGACGAATGACTCATCTGATCAATGGATTGGTCCCAAAG